TAGGAGGATTGTCCTATGGACTTTTCGAAAACAGCTTTGTTAGATTATATTGAATCGGTAACCCTCTTGGTACCCAGAAACCGAAATATCGGCTCGCCACAAATGCTTTGAGCCGATATTTCGTCTTATCATGTGCAATACGAGTTATAAATTCCGATATAGAAAATGACGAAAGTGTAATACTTCCAAGAATTTTTATGTAAAATAAAATACAGTTTACAATAAAATATGAAAACAACTGCAAAGTTATCTTTATTTTTAGAAAAAATTGTGTTGACTTTAATAAACACCTCTAACAATGCATATTTTCCAAGGTATCTCTGGATGGTACACGAAAATATTGTAAGGTATTAAAAAGGTTAAGTCTGCTTTTATTGGATTGAAAGTACGGTACCGTCTGATGCAAGTTTTCATAGCCATCAGAGTAAACAGCGGAAGTATGCAAATGATAAGATACTACAATGTGTGCCGAAAATATTTTGCTAAAAATACAGTCAGATTGAAGGAAATTTTTATATAAAATAATGTATTATAAGAATTCTGTTTGAATACTTTCGGTACTCGTTACGTGTACACACTGTGTGCACTTTGATCGTTCGTTACATACATATGTATTCAATTCAGAATATTATTTCTTCGGTAGTAGGCATTCGTTGTGCACGTGTCATCGAAAACCTCCGAACGGAAGGAGTTTAAAAACCGATCATACATTTTTTTTGTAAACAGTGTTAATTGCGTAACGACAAAGTTCATTCGCTTTCACTCGTCCGACAGCGATCTCGAAGTCGCTGAAACGTCAGAGCTATATGCACGTTTCGTGCGACCTAGTAAAACATCTTGCTTTCGTCAAACTCTGCATCAGTTCTGCCTGACGTTGCTAAAAACCACTTTTATACACGGTGTCGCGTTATTAGTTGGTTCACCTTACTTGGTTCTACGCACAACACACACACACACTCACACAGATAACTAGGTTATCAGCACCTGCATGCACCTAGGCCGGTAAACAAGCCGGAAACTGCAAGTCACTTTTTCCGGAGACAATAATCCATTTCCTGATATGTCGGTTTCGCGAGCTTGAATTTCAAAGTCCAAAGTCTCGATTAAATAGACAAACAGTGTGATACAATAGTAGTGAAATAGTGGAAAATGGAAAATCATCCGGGAAAACAGTGTTTGCTAGAAAAACAGAATCACGTCTGCACGAACAGTGTATGCTTTGATCAGACCAGTAGTATGGCCGTTCATAGTCAGACACAGCCTGCTGGAAGATTTTTAACCCTATCTCTTTCTTAACTCGTTACTCCATAAATTCTTACATGTCTTGTACAGAATCTTGTTTCTGTTTGTGTCTAGAAGTCGAAAATTAGTTGTTGCTACATATGTTTGTCATCGTGCCAGACCACCGAGCTTACAAAGTGAACATAGTGTACTATCAATGCTTTATCAATAATTTAGAATGTTGGGATGGGGCAGTAAACATGAAATTGAGGTAAGTTGATTATGAGACTTTGTAGACTCACGAACCACTTCAAAATGTTTCGTGTCACTAATTGGAACTGATCGTGACTTCAACAAAAATTAGGAGTTTTTGAATTTAGGAAAAAATTTTTTAAGGACTTTTCAAGGACTTACTCCTATTTTAGAACACCCTGCATATGAAAAGTATTTATGTGGCTATTATTATCGAAGAACTTGTCCACCCCTGCTCTACACCTTCGACCTATTCTATCAGCCTTAACCGTTCCGAAATGTCACCGAGTCGAAACCACAGAGGCCAGTTCCATACTTGTATCGCTCGGTGCATATTCTCCGCGGTTTACAGCTACAGGAAACGATCCGCTGCAAAGCCTACGGTTTCAATCGGTGAACGTGCATCGCCTTCGTCATCTGCAAGCAAGGCGTCCGCTGCCTTAGATCGAATCATATCCGGACACGAGATGGGCAAACTCACTATCTAGATAAAAGTTTCGAATAACGAATAAAAGATAAAAAGAGTATTTTGTCATTTTTAATTGTTTAAACGTGGAAATTTCAATTTCTATAAAAAAAAATACTTCTTTATGAATGAATCGACATTTGTCGAATTAGATACTGCTGCTTTTCACTGTCTATTCCTCGTCAAAAAAAAAATAGCTCCGTCACAGCCGGAACCGTCATCGTGTGAGTCACTGAACGCCACGGATCACGCCCCACAGCCGAGAAAACTCTCCATACATCATCTTAAACATCGATCTTGGGAAACCGTTCCTTTGGAAGGAAAATGCTCAGACAATCGGAGCTCTACTTACGCGTCGCGATACGACGTATAGCAAATAAGATCTTCGATCGCAAAACTGTATCGCGAGATAACCAACCAGCGTCGATGGATTTATGGAAATCGTGCGTTATAAAGAAACTCGTTCGGAAAATCCAACCGTGTCGTAACGACGTCTCGATGGAACAACACCACGTCAGATAGATCGTGTTCCGCTGGGTGGGAATGGAATTCCAAAGGCGGGAAACTGGCACTGCGTGGCCCCGTGTCCAGTTGGACACAGCTGACTCACAATCGAGTCTCACGCGCACAACAACCCAGTTTCGATTTTATCATCTCGGTGCAACCACGCGACAGGGGCCACCGGCTTCCCGGGGAATACCGAGCGATCCGGCCGGAGGAAACTATTTATCGCGAGCTATTCATTGCTCTGGAGTGAACTAGAAACCTTGACCGTGGCGGACATTGTTCCGTCGTGAACTTGGAATTCCTTGGCCTGTGATTCGCTATTCAGGGATCGTGATCTCTCTCGATTATCCGAGGAATGCCCCTGGATGTTTTTTTCGGGGAATAAGAAGTCCCTGAATCTCTTTCTTTTTTTTTTAGATTCGACGGAGATAAGGTACAAGTTTTAAATTTGTAATCCTTCTCGGGGATTTAATTGAGTTGCCAGAAACCGGACAGCATCAAGATCGTGGTTGCAAAACGAAGACACGAGCAGAAAGAATCGGGAAACAAGACGCGTGTCCAATGTTCGTTTAAAGGACAAACACGATGTCAACGACAGACAAGGTTTCCACGGAAATCACAAACAAGATCCTGCGGCTGTTCGTGAGAACGCCTTGGCTCGAGCGAGAGCAAACAAGTTTTTTCGCAAATCATTGACTGCACGGACTGCAATTTTCTCTTAGCTGGGCGCCGTGGTCGTGCCGTGACAATGACTATCGTAGACAAGGTCGGCCGATTGGAATAGAGAAAAACGATCGCGTAGGAAGAAAACGGAGTACACTATGGGAACAAGGCCGTGATAGTAATAGAGAAAAAGTTCTTTCATCGTGGATCGAATTTTATTCCGGCCACGATGAATCCGCATTCTCTCTCAGCGGGCAGGAAATCTTGAATCCACGAATCCGGCTTATTTTTACGGTTCAGCGTGAAAGTGGAACCATTGCACTAAATCCTGCCGCGGCGTTTTAGTTTTTTTTTACTTTTGTTCGCTCCGTTCAATTATTATTTATACTTTCGGCTGTTTCTTTCCGTTTTGTTCGTACATTCCACGGGGAACAGAGAGAATTTCGTGATATCAGACATCGTTCTGGAAATCTTTCGCACAATGGCTTGGACGGAATTGCGTTACCAGTTACCATGAGTCACGAAAACATTTGAACAACAGGATTCTACATCCACATGGTAATTGGTATACATATTGATACAATGATATTTCGAATAATGTACTTTTTACTATTTTATATTGTATGCAGGGTGTTCCATTTAAATAGAACCCACTCGAATATCTCCGAAACTGTTGACGACATTATAAAAAGTGTTTCAAACAGAAGTTAAATGATATCAGGGGGCACACTTTTTGATGATACCATATGAAGGTCAATTTTGTTTTATAAATGGAATCGTATGTTCTTTAATGCACTAATTCTCCACAAGTGACTGATATATTTTTAATATATCATATAAGAAATTTCACAAAGACTACTGGTAAACGAAGTGCAAAGACTTTATTTCTTCGCCATAAATATTAACGTAATTCCAACCCATACAAATCTTCAAAACAATTTCGGAGTGATGTTTTTCACGCACGAGTGTTAACGCAATTTTGACCAATACCGATAATTGACTGTTTACCTATTCAGTAATTGGCTAAAACAACCGATACTCTTAAACATCGAAAAAAGGAAGTTCATTTACGTTGTCCGTGCAGAGACACTGTCTCAACCGGTAAATCCAATGACGCGCATACAGCAGAGATACGGAGTAAAATGAATTTATCTAGGCATCGCGAAATTCGATAAGGTACAAAAATAAGAACCGTGATAAATCGCGGCTCTTGCAGTCTCGGTTTCGTTGCCAGAAAGGATACAAAAAAAAAATCAAAGAAGAAGAGTATCTTCTTACGAAAATCTGTCCGAATACTGGCCAGACTCGAACGCAACCCGTTAACGAAGTGTTTTGAATCACAATGTGCAAAGAGATACAAGCGACAGTCCAGCCCCGTCGTCAGGCAGAAAACTAATCCACAGCGAGCAAAACGTCTGTATACATACATCCAAAAGGTATGTCGCGAGTCGCGGGGGCACACGTCACGGCTATCAGGCGAAAACATTTGTTCGGGCCAATACTCGAGAAAACATTCTGTCTTTGTTCCCGCGGCGATCATCGTTCTGTAGTCCACGCTGAGATCTTATCGATCATCCGTGGAAAACAGTCACGATAAAAATGTTTATTTCGCGATTTCTCGTGCGGACCACTGTTTTTTCATCTCGGACACGACGAAAACATCGCCCTTAAACCGCAACCAGGAAGAGACGAATGATCGCCGTTTGACGGCGAAGAGGATCGTCTAATAGACTAATCTTCGTGGCCATAAATCCTCGTTAACGTCTTCCTGTATGAGCGACGAGTCCAAAGTATTGTCACATAAAAATAGAACTATCCTGTTCCGGGTTGGTCTTACCAACCACTCGCGAAATTCGATATTTCAGGATACAATTAACCCTCGTATACTTACTTCATCTCACGTAGAAAACACAGCTGAAGATCCTCTCTCTCCTCCTGTCTTCTGATTATTCCCGTAGAATGTTGCTCATCGAAGACACAAAAACATGTGACAGGCACGTAGACGCGCCTATGACTTGGTTCATAAGAAACAGGAGCATCAGCTCGAAACGAGGATATCAGTGGAACGTCAGATTACCGTGCACCGGTCTTTCAGGGAACTCCATGTGTCGTTGGTTTCCAGGATTTCTCGACATTTATCTAATCGAACACCTTCGACTAGGTTCTCCACTCTCTCCCTGTTGTCAACCAGTGAGCAATGTTCAAATTTAGGTCGTTGAAATTCACTAGAATTCACACAGATATCGTCTTGTTTGTGTGTATATTTTCTTCGAACAGAGTGGGGATGAAACTACCCCTTTAAATGTTTCGTGTCCTCCCTGTTCACTTTGTGTATTATCGCACAAAAAGGACACGCGTCGACGATATACACGTTAACACCTCGTCGATCTTCCGAGATATTACGGTGAATCGAATGTAAAAAAAAGAAAGAAATGAATGAAGAGGCAGCGAAAGAAACAGTAGTCGTTCGGAAAGACGAAAAACATGTCCCCTAAAACGTTCACCGCGCGGCTGTTGGCGCAACACTGAACAACTGCGTATCGGTCATAACTAACGGCGCCTCGGAGCGCGCGATGACTCGCGCAGTCGCGTGATCGTCCTACACTACGACGACAGATCGGCTGGCTGTTTACCGCCAGAATTAGACAAAAGAGGCGAGCTACCCGTCGTTTAAAAACATGATTAGGTTAACACGGGTTCAATTTCACGCGCGTCCTTCCATCCTCTACCCCTCTTCGACCTTCCCACGGCGGTTGTCATCTGGCTGTTGGAGTCTTGATTTTCAATTGGGCTCCGATCCGCCATTGAGGGAAATGATCGATCGTTTGAAAAAAGGTAACTGCTTGATGGCTTCTTCTGTTTCCTTTTGAATTCGTATCGTTCGGCTGGAGACAGGCGTGAATTCTTTTGCGAGCGATGACACGGGGATTGTGTTTTTATTGACGTAAAACTGAATGAATTGATTGAGTAACATGATACATATTTTATACTAGATAATCGACAAAATACGTAAGAAGAGAAAACGCGCAAGGTAGTCGGAGAATAATTGTTAGAGCGAGGTGTGGGAGTGTGGAGGACACAGATATAAAGTAGAGGAAGGATTAGGGAATTTAAAGCATTGGGGTTGAAGATTATAGGTCGATGAATGATAAAAAGATTGCAAGGGATCGTGGGAGAAACAGACAGTGAAAGAGTAATAGAATGGTTGAGGAAATTAGGGGAAGGAAGAGGGAAGGTGTAAGTAAATAAAGAACAAATGTTGGCCAAAGACTGGTGACAATTGAAGTTTTGGTATACATACAATAATATATTAGTATAGGTATAATTTACATGTAAGATTGGATGACACAAAGGTATAGGTGGATGAACGGAAAAATTTATTTTGCAAAGTCAAACCCCATTTTGTAGCGGGCAGGCAAAATTTAATAATGAATAACAATAGTAGGGGAGTTTTTGTATTTGTTTCGGGTCTAGTCCTGGATTTCATTGATTAATGTTGCCTTCTATGAATGAATGAATGTTTTCGATGGAGGTGACTAACAACTAGTGTAGAATCACGCGATGCGCATTGTTGAGCACATCGGAAATAGTTTTGGATTATAACAATGGTTTGCCGTTGTTTTTTGTAATTCAGGACATGCACTTAAATTTGATCTACACGGTAACAAAAGCGTATAATCGACTGCCGTTTTTGTTACGCTATTATTATCTACATAGAAATGTGTTCCATTGAAACGGCTACTTTCTTTCATCATCTTCCGTTGTTTATCAAATAAAGGGGATCTTGCGTGTCGAAATTGTGTGTGAATCAGTAAAAGATTACAGGGGACAGTCTCTTTGTTTCCTTGTTTTCTTCATTTCTTCCTGTAAGACCACGAAATGTTGAAGTACATGCAAAGCAACACCGACCGAGATCATGAATGTCCACGGAGTCAATGAAATTTCTCAAACTAAGATATAGTTTCGTCGACCTGTCGTCTCAAACTTCTTCATTAAAATGTACCATTCATTTCTTGTTCATTCAACTTTAAGTTTAATTACACTCCGATACAAAACACTTTTCAATATATAATCTGAGAAACTACTTTCTCCAAACGCGTAATATCATCCCCACTGCACCGTACACGTGCATTCTCTTAACGACCACCAAGAGCGCAGCCACAATTAAACACAAAAATAGCCAGTTTAATCCATTTATAAATACGAACAATCTGCTCTCCCCCATGAAACCATTCAACGTTTATTATTACCACGTTGTATCTATCCGTATCCGTTACGGCGAAAGATAGAATTAACCGCCCCATTCCACGACGGTCGATCATACGGAATCAGCGGAGTAGCAATACAACGCTCTCCCGTCACGAATTGTTCGCATGCGATACCGTATTAATACTCCCGCCGCGTAATAGTATTTAGTTGAAAGCTCTACCTCCGCGCATTATCTCGCGGCATTAACCTTGAGGACAATGTATCGGGCTCCACACACACCCTGTGTGTGCATTACGCCACATACCAAATGAAAATGACATTTCCCCTCCCCACCCACCCACGGCGAATCCAACCTCTACTGTTCTAGCGAGTAATGCGACCGATTAGCATTCGATTCGTGCGCTTCGAATGTGGCGTGAACTCTGACGGCGAAAACAACGATATTTCACGAGACAACCAGGGACGAATATCGGATGCGTCGTTTGAAAAATAACAGCTTGGGTGGCAATAATTTAAACTTCCCTTCCTCCCCTCACTCCTCCTCCTCTTGGCCGATTGATCGTCGGGAAATAAAGTAGACGCCCGTTCTCAGGGGTCATGTGATCCTTTATCGCGACGCCTTGCTGTCGGTAACGACGGTTACAGTGATAACGTGTGTCGTGTCTAAAAACTACGTCGCAATTTCGAAGACGAGAGACATATATCGACGCTCGAATGGCTCGGTGTGTGGCGAACGCACTGTCACAGATAAATTTAGAGCATTTTAGATTGAGCACGTTTCTTTTATGGCTGGGTCGTATCTTTGACGCGGTTTAAACGCGCCCCGAAACGTTTTGTTATCGTCCCGAGAATTAGCATTCTATCAGCCGTGAACCCTTCGATTGAGGAGTCTGTAAGATTTCGGTTGGAAGGAATATGCCTAACTTGTTCGAAAGGTTAGACACACTTAATCCAACCGATTCCTTAAAAAAAGGTTTATGGTAAACGGTAAATCTCTTTCAAGTCTCACCGTTTATTGATTACACTTACACACGTAGTATTTACGAGTAGCCTTGCGAATACACGTAAGTACTGTTACAAGTAGATGCATACATATACATTTGTATCTGCGCATGGACACACCGTGCTGGCTTTCATATGGCCGTCCCTCGAAGAATCGATAACACGCCGTCGCGCCACGGCCACGCGAAATCGCGACAAACCGTGAAAACTGTTAATCATACTTCAGTTTACAGACTACGGAGTTCAGGAAGAATTGAAGCAGTATCATGATATACATCAAAATACCGCCTATTATCTAGAAACAAATTGCTTTGGTTATACATACTATGGATAGCCGCAACAAAATCTGAAATTGTCCTACCTGCGCTAGAAGCTTCGTGTTCATAATGACTGCCCTTGCGGAGAACGTATTATCCCGATGTAACACTTGCAAAGAGAATAATCTCAACTGAAATATTACAAGTATTAGAATTACGTTTGTCGGATCCGTGTGACAGTAAATCATCTATGAGTGTTCAAAGACTCCTGGACACTGACTATTAAATATTCAACTATAACATATCCTATTGCTTCAGAATTCCAAGCTCTATCGCTGTGCTAACCTCATTAAAAAGTCAGCGTTACCCCTAGGAACCTCCCTATGTCAGTGCACAAGAGCCTTCGAGCACTCCTAAATGATTTACTGTATTGTTAATTACCTCACGCTTCAGAGTACCGTCGGTGCACTTGCTAAGAACATCGTGAATGGTGGTGCCGATCTCCTTGGCCTGATTCGTCGCGGTCTGGCAGGCCCAAATCACGAGCGAGAATTTCAATAAATAGTACAACGCGGCTGAAACATACCGAATGTACCAAAACTGTTGCCCCAGACTCGATGCAAATCCGCCACCGCTCCAGAGGAGATAGAAGTATACGTTAAATGTGACAACAGTAAACGTGGAGACTGTCATGACGACGATACGCGCGAGAAACGTTTTATTCAATATCTCGACAACGTCACTGATCTGCAGATGCAAATCTTCTAAGTGTTTCAACTTCATCAATAATAAAAGGCTCTTGCCATGTTTCTGCTCTACCCGTGACGCACTCGAATGAAGGTTAACCAACGGTTTGTTCAGCTCATTCAGATCTTCGTTGATACGTTTGAAACAGGCTCTCAATAAACAAACACAGTTCATGTAGAACATGTCCAACGCGTAATGCACCATCACTATGTACAGAGTAGTCATGCATTGTAACGTGCTGAGCGTGATCCCCTTGTAACAATTCGGTATATGCACAAGCAACAACACGATACCAAAGATGTCTTTCGTGTGGAAAAGCTTCGCCATATCGTTGAAATCCTCCTGGGACAACACCCGCGTAACTGCGGTCAACTTCTGGAGCAGGATGAATCTTGTGTACGAAAGGGCGTACATCATCAGTATCACGAATCCGTCGAAGAGAAGAAACAAGTTCGCTTGGATCGTCTCGGAGGTGGTCTCAGACGTCGCTAGAAAATTGGTTGTGTAGATATCGACGGCCAGGAAGGACAGGTAGACGAATATCATGATTGCTGAGAAAGCAAATCGAGTCTTCGAGAATTCGAATTCACGGAAATTCCACTTGAACGGAAAGAATCCGAGAATCAGCGAGACCAAGATGTTAGGGTATATCAGAGATGTAATGTCAGTGGCGCGCCACGGTCGCCATCGTTTGTGGCCCTTGAAGTTTTCAATCCTCATTGCGTTCCCAATCATCGTTCTTTTAACTTAAAAATGTAAAACAGCTTCGATATAACGCGAAATTATCCTTCCTAGGAACCAGTTTCAACCAACGCGACTCGTGAACTGATGCGTGGTTTAAAACGAGCCCGAAGGAAATTCAATGTCGTAATGTGATGTGTTCTTGAATAAATGATACGAACTTCGTTTTACAGATGACAGTAATAATGTTACGGGCGGGCTTTTATCGGAATTAAAAGTGCAAAGGTTATATGTATGGTTGCAATTTATTTCGAAATTATACATGCTCGAACAGAAAAGAATTCCTTCCAGATGGACTACCCGTCAGCAATGTTTCACAATGATGAATTGTACCAATATCAACACGTACGTCGTGATAGATCCTATTAACTATAAATTAACGCATTGTATGAGTATTTTCTCGATGGTTCACCAAACATTTTTTTTACCTTTGTCAAAAGGGTGGCGTCTATTACTAGCCCCTTTGCTAAAATCGTGTGGTTCTGCTGTAAAGCTTGGATAGAGAAGAACTCCAACTGGTTATCCAAAAATAAAGAATATATAACCTATTAATAGCAAACATCATACGAGAGTATACGAAGAAATTAATTCATCAATTTTCCTTCAACTGGACCATTTTAATTTACCTGTGTAGTCAGTTGACGATTGGAAGTAACCACTAGAATCCGGTGGATGTTGATACCAATAGTCTTCGCTTCATTCTTGAGCTTCTCGCAGGTGACGATGATTAAGACCAAGTGCAAACTAATATAAGTCAGATATACGATACGGTCTATCGCAAAGGCTTTTACATCGTTGGTATTGACTTCCAAATAATCGGAGATGTTAAACGTAACACCCACTAACGTAATTGCAACGGTAACAATGTTTTCAAAGCCAAAGGCCTCATTAAATATCTCGATAATTTTGCTAATCTCCAGATGTTGTCTCCTACAAGCTTTCAATTCCATGAGCAGTACAGGATTCTTCTGTGTATGATAGACTCTTCTAAGAAGATGGGGCTCGTCGTTGATCAATGTCTTCTTTAAACTCTCCAAAAACTCGTTTATCTTAGACAAGCACGCTTTCAATACGTTTAAGTTGTTCACGAACAACATGTTCACCAGTACATTCACCATGACCATGTACCAGGAAAGCACGTTAAAGAGCATACTCGATGTTCTCCACATCGACTCAATCCAGAAACAGCCCAATACAATGATTCTAATCAAGTCTATCGTGTACATCCATTTAGCCATGCTGCAGAAAGTTTTGGGGAGCAGTACACGAGAAACATTTGACATCTTCTGGTATGTTAGCAATTTCGATCGAGTGGACACGTAATTTGCCCAGATGAAGACGAGACCGAGGAATATATCGCAGTAGTAATGAAACACTGGTGAAACCTTGCGTATCCTGCGACCCATAAGTTTCGTCTGACATACGCACGTTGGCGTCAGAATCAAACAACTTATCACTATTATCGTAGACCAAACGAATCGTTTCTTGGACAACGTATACGTCGTCGAGACGGTTTTATAAGGGAAAAATCCGAAAATACAAACGACGAAGGCGTACGGTCGAATCAACGTCATGAAGTTCGTGACGCGAAATGCCTTCCATAAATTATATTTTTGGGTATTCACGAATCTATTTAGTTGACTCATCATTTAGAGATTAAGTTTTCTTGAGAATTGTTTGACCGACTGTTCCGTCTGGATACGACTTAGGTATAACTATTAATGCGACGGAACTCGAGTTCCGTTTCGGTTCGTACCACTTCCGAGCACCGGAAGTCGAGGACTGTACAAGCGTGCCATGATGAAATTGAGCGTAAAGAGATAATATCGATAATTATGTAGTATGCAGTTAGGAAAACACCATTTGACGATGGAAAAACATTTACTATACGTTGATCGTGAACGTAAAGATTAGTTGCAACGAGAGCGACATTATCTTGATCAGAATTATAATCGATAGAATTCAAGGTAAATTATTTTATCAATTCTAGCTATTCTTATCTAGTTTTTGCAATAATGTTTGTTGTGAACTGTTTCTCAACATAGTCTACCCTCGATGATCTAGGATTACATTTATATGATCTAGAATAATCTAGATTGTTATTAAAGGTTAAAAAAATCATGTTATTGAATTTGTGGGCTCCTGGGAAGTAAAATAACGACGACGACTTAAATTACAATAATAGTTGTTATTGCGCAAAATTCTCGCAGTGTTATGAAAAAAATATAGTAGCTGAACTATGTGCTATCGCTATTTTCTCAATTAAGATCATTGCATTTGACGTCAGTCTACGCCATGCGTAGGTTACATTATCAACTTCCTGTTGCTTACTGTTGTTACTAGATATAGCTTTTTTCCACGCGATATCGTAGCTTGTCATTGAGATTTTTTATTTTCCAAGGGAATCGTATATTTCGAGGCGTAAGCCATGAATGGCTCTAACATCGTAATAAATTAATACCCTTACCATAAAAAAAAATTTACAGGAAATTTTTACATGAAACAGGAAATACATGCATCTGTTACAAATTATAATGAATGTTTAACTGAAAGTACTTATTGCAATAAATAAATTAGTGCATACCTAAACCATTATACTTAATTATATATATACCATACTGTTAGGAAAACCATATTGTTAGGAAAAATAAATAACTATCTGAATTGATTAAAATTATCATTGTCTGTATGTTCAAGGGTAATTCTTTCATATATAATTACATTGAAGCGATCGTAAAACATATCTATAGATAAATATACGTTCTGATAAGAGTTGCTTCGGACAGTTGCTCAGTAGAATTTGTAGGTTATGTGTATTAAAGGTTATGTTTAAATACATGCCACCACCAAACTCTCGTACAATCTAAGGAACAAATGAATAATTGCTGAAACTCGATAAATTAGTGCTGGTTAAATATAGCAATTAAAATGAAATTCCATACAATGTATCTTTCAAACATTTTAGAATGATTTTAAGTATACCGTTTTCTGTTGGGCTATAACTTTCTTGTATCTAAAGGCATCGTACATACGTAAGAAAGTGCAACATGAGTAAAAACTCCTTCGAGAAAGGAATAATTACTTATATTTATCTGGAAAATTTTGTGTAAGTACTGTATTTAAATAGTTATATTAATGTCTACAAAACGATCTGTTCATTAATAATGAATACTATATGTACAAATCTTTCTGTAAAATCTCATTTTTTACAATCGATTTACGAAAACTGAAAAATGTAATACATGTATATACTTCCTTTATTAAGGATTTTATTGAATTAAAGTAAAGACAGAAACGTTATTAATCATTACTAAATTGTATTTTGTAATCTAATATTAAATATCTATTATAGCACTTATGATAAAGTTGCTGTAAAGCCTGGTAGAAATTTGAATGTTATTATTGGACCCAATGGCACTGGGAAGTCCACTATTGTATGTGCCATTGTTCTTGGATTGGGAGGTAAACCAAGCACAATTGGCCGTGCCACTCAAGTTGCAGCTTATGTGAAAGCAGGTTGTGAGGAGGCAAAGATTGAAATCCATCTCAAAAATGGAAAAAACAGAGATGCCATTGTTACAAGATTATTCAACATACAAGGGAAATCTTCCTGGTTTCTCAATGAAAAGCAATCAAATATTAAAGAGATACAAAACCTAACAAACAGCTTTAATATTCAGGTACAGTTTAAACTGCCATTAAGTTGTCTTAAATTTGATTGAAATTTCATGTACCTTGTCTTCTCCTTCAGGTGGACAATCTATGCCAATTTCTGCCCCAAGATAAAGTACAGGAATTTTCAAAGATGAATGCACAAGAGTTATTGGAAAATACAGAAAGATCAGTTGGTGATCCCATAATTCTCGAGCATCACAAACAATTAATAAAGTATAGATCAGATCATAAAAGTTTAGAATCACAGATAGTAAGCAAGAAGAAATTATTGGCATCAAAGAGTCAGATACACGAAGGTTTGAAAGAAGCTGTTAGTGGTATAAAAGAAAGGAAATTAATAAAAAAGAAAATTGTGGCATTAAAACAAAAAAAGGCTTGGATATTATATGAACAAAAACGCAGAGAACTACTTCAGGTAAAAGCACTACAGAATAATCTGCCTATCTTGCATAACACTTTTCTCGTGTTCCTTATATGCCTAATTCATTCCTGATAAAGTACCCTATACATTACTCTTAAATATGTGATCTTTCTATAATTATACATGCACTGTAGTTAAAAAAGAAAAAAGAAAATGCGGCAGCAGAAGTGACATCTTTGGAAACCGAAATAAAACCAACTAATGAGCTAATAGAAAAAATGAGATCAGAAATTAAAGTGCTTCAGAACTGCATGTCAGAACATGTGAGTTCGAAAATTTTTATTTTAGGGATAATAAGAACTATTTTAAGAGCTGCTTAATTGTAGAACAGTAAAGTCAGTATTAAAACTACTAAACTCAAAAGGATGATGGATGATGTCTTGGAATGTGAAAATCGTATAAAGGAATGCGAGATTTCTTGTAAACAGAGGATACAGACAGAGGAAGCTCGAGATCACGACATTGAAGTTGCACAGCAACAAAAAAACAAATTGGACAACGACCTGACTCTGATACTGAACGATATTGGATCTGGTTAATACTATACAATAAGACCCCCTATAACACGGAAGATACGTTCCGCGTTATACGAATTTCGTATTATACGGGATCCAAAATGCGACAAGTTAAAACTGAATAAAAAACATTTTTTCTAATATAGCAGAAAATAATGTGCATTTTATTTCATTTTAGATGAATAAAAATATAAAGGTTTTTCATTATATATACTGTTAATGTTTAGTTCGCGTTAGAGGAGTACCGCGTTATAAGAGGTCCTACTGTACTTGCGTATGTTATCATAAAATTTTGGAGAACTATCAGAACTTATTACATTATATTTTATAGAGGAGTCTGTAAAAAAACAACGAGAAGAAACCTTGGCCAACATAGACAAATACAGGAGTATCATCAGTAATTTAACAAGTAAAAATTCGGTATTGAAACAGGAAGAAGAGCACGCAAACCTTGAAATCAGAGGTAAACTTTTTTTGTATTTCCGATGTACGAAATATAATTTACCATTGACTCTATATAATAATAACATTTATAGCTCAAGAAACAGAATTACAAATGCTTAATATTGAATCAAAACGATTACAACTTCTAAGGGAAAGAAGTAGCGATACATATAGGGCGGTACATTGGTTAAGGGAGAATCGGGATAAATTTTCTGGAGAAGTGCATGAACCAATATTACTTAATTTAAATGTAAAAGATGCTTCTTATGCCAAATATTTGGAAAGCATTATTGCGTTTCGTGACTTAATCGCATTTGTTTGCGAAAATAAACGAGACATGAATTTATTACTACATTATTTACGAGATGAGCAAAAACTGCAAGTGAATGCTGCACATTCTGACCCTATGAAATTAGTCTCCATGGAACCGCCTGTTCCTTTGGCGAAGATTACTCAATTCGGTTTCACTCATTATTTGGTATCTCTGATTGAAGCACCAAGCACTATCATGAAGTATTTAGTGACTATGTATCATTTAAACAATATACCTATAGGAACCAATCATGTTGATGATAACATTGATCATATACCTCATAACATACGTTGTTATTTCAGTCGTAAGTGAAAAAAAGTGATTTTATATTGCCCTATGAATTAATTAGAACTACATATTTTATTTCGCATTTCTTTCGGTTTTCAGGGTCGAATGTCTACTCCGTTAATAGGTCTAAATACACGGGACAGAAGTCCATTGGAATGCAACCAGTATCAGGCAAAGGGGGGATGTTATCGATTGTGTTAGATAAATCCAAGTTGCTGAAGATTGAAGAAAAGTTAGTTGTTATTACTACATGATAGTAAGTTTGTATTGTAACCGTGTACCGCTCATAAATAATTTCCTTATAGGTTGAAACTTCTAAAAGAACGGAAGAACAATGCTTTCAACAAAATCAAAGAAATCGAAGAACAGATATGTGAACACAATAAGGAATTAGATAAATACAGAGCTAACAGAAACAAACAACAGCAAGATCTACAACAAATACAAGCTTTGAAGTCTAGAATATCTATGGTGGAGAGAAAAATTATGACCTTGCAAAATGAACGAACCAGTATTGATAAAATAAAAGAGTCTACTACTAAGGAGATAAAGGTTTTACTTTTTTTAACGAACATTAAATGTACATAGTGACGCAATACGTGTTACCACTTTTACACGTATATTCAAATATTCTAGTGTCGGGAAAAACTTGTCTAACAAATGTTATAGTATGGACAACATTCGAAAAAATTCGATCTAAAAAATTACCCTATCCTTAAAATTGCTATATTTTTTTATATGAATTTTTCTTTGAGGATAACATTTATTCATACATTTTTCAGGTGATTTTAAATAAACAACTAAATATTTATAAAACATACAATGTTGGATTGGAAGAATGCTTTCAGTCACTTACAACAAGCGAACAAATCCAACTGGCATTAAAACTAAGAAATCGTTCTTTGAATTTGAAAATAAACGAATCCCAAGATCAGAGAGATAAACTAAAAGCGGCTGAAGACAAAGTGAGGAAACTCAATTCAGAGATGCAACCTACGAAGAACGAAGTGCAGAGAATGTACAATGAAGCGCTAAAAACGACAAATGGCATTAATCCATCCGATGAGGCGTTTGCGCCAATAAATAAGGTTTTTAATAAATTACCACCAACCATAGAAGAGATCAATAACGAACTGAACATTGCACAAGCAAAAGTCTTTTGTATGGGAAACAATATCGACGGTGAAAATGTTAATATCATAATTATCTATATAAATTACGAATTTACGAAACATTTGATTTTATAATGGTACTTTTCGATTTCAGGTATTACGCGAATTTGAAACGGTAGAAGGAGAAATCAATTATTTAAAAGAGTTCATTCAGAAAACGACACAACAGATCGAAGTAATAACGCAACAGATAGAATCATTGCGAGAAGAATGGTTGAAACCGTTGTCTGAAACCGTGAAAAAAATAAACTCAAATTTCAGCTCATACTTCTCGGCGATGGGTTGTGCCGGTGAAGTCATAGTGGCGACCCCGGAGAATATCGTAAGTCGGTGCGAAATGGAACCAGGTCACTCACTTATTATTAAAGAAGTTATAGGAAGATTATCGTTATACTTATAGATGGACTTCGATCAATACGGCCTAAAAATCAAAGTGAAATTCAGAGACACTGACGCTCTACAAGAATTGACAAGGCACCATCAAAGTGGAGGAGAAAGAGCAGTGACCACTGCTATTTATATGATCTCACTTCAAGAACTTTCGAGAGTACCTTTTCGATGTGTGGATGAAATTAATCAGGGTATGGATGCAGTGAACGAACGACGAGTATTTAATTTACTTGTAAGAATGACTGGAAGGCCAAACAGTTCTCAGTACTTCTTACTTACACCAAAAGTTAGTATGAATTGAATATCTCTTCTACACAATTATAGTTACTGGTAAACCCAGAAGTCACACATAGGATTGAATTTTATGATTAGTGATTCTTAAACTATTGTAGATCTTTAAAGAAAGTTAAAAATCATTAATAAAATCAAAGTTACTCCAAAACGAAGTTTGTAGTGAACATCCACTCTATGTGTAGCTTAATGAGGACATACAAAATAGTGTACTGCAGAATGTTAATTCGTTATATTTATTTTTGTTTAGTTGCTACCTGATCTACAATACTCGGAGACTGTAACTGTGCACTGTGTATTTAATGGACCGTTCATGATTAACCACACAGATTTTGATACAAAGAATTATTGCTCACATATTAGTAAGATAATGGAGGAGAATGTAGATGACGATTAAGTATTAATAGGTATACTTAAAGATTATACAATGCCCATATGTATACAACAAAGTTATATACAGTGATATGAAACATAGTTGATATATTTTTGCAACAACATTTGAAAAGAAATTACTTGAATGAAAAAATATATACATTACTTTACCAGTAACATGTTGCAGCAGTATCCGAGTTACTCTGACAATTGGATTCACTTCCTTCCCTTCTTTTTTTTCTTCTTCTGAGCCTCGGGCCATGGAAAACCTCTACACTTGAGTACATCCATTATATTGTGGCAGGTGTAGTAAGCATTTTCCATAGCTTCTTCACTAAAGATATCCATAGAAAATTTCGCCCTTCCACCACTTTTTCTTGATTTTTTTGTTCCTTTACCCTTACCCCCGTTATTATTTTTACCATTTTTACCATTTTTCCCATTTTTACCGTTACTTTTGGCATTCTTCTTTTTGTTCTTTCCGCGCATTACAATTTATCCAATTACCGAAATTTTATAATGAATTGAAATATGGAATCTTAATTGTTTCCACGAGTAAATTATTTATGACTGATTTAGAACAAGAAGAATGGAAATCTTCTCACAATCACCGCATTTATATTGGAATGGTTGCCATCATTGTCGGTTATATCGATAACGGTTGCCACGATTGCATGTTACGTCAATAATTTCGAATTACTCTTCACAATTCGCGACACGAAAAGGATGTTAAGAAACAGGGGATTATCAAGTCAACGTACACGCAAATGTGCTTTATGACACGGTATATCTTCGTTGAAATTGAATTAAAGTTCGAAGTCCCGGTTTCATCGCGAACCCTTCCATTATTGAGGTGTAATTCGATTAACGGGTCGCTGTCGATCGAGATGATTATCTTGTATCGATTTTTCCGGAAGTACTTCGATACAAACGAAAATACACAAAGCTTTTAAATTAAACATAAGAGATTATACATTTAAGTATTAAATAAGCGTACAAAATATGCAGAAAAAATCAACAGCAATATTTCTGCGTAACAAGTCTTGCAAATTGCGCCGCGAATCGATATGTCCCAATGTCTCGTATCGATCCGCGGGAAAGCAATCGTATTCAAATCAATGAATTATCGAACCGGTGAATAATTCAAACTTTGACTTCAATAGTATCCGTAAAATACTCTTTCGAAGGTTTTCTCGTGAAATTGTAGGTCGCTGACATCGAAATTATTATCTGCTTCGCGAATCGTCCACAGTTTGCGAAATACTCGAACGTTCTAGATTTCGAAACATTTTACGCTTACGCTACGTTGATCGACTTCATCGAATCTATTGTCAATACAAATATTGGAAAACGATTAATTTACTAGATGTACCAATAAATAATCTATTTTGGCTTCAATCAAGTGGTAATTTAGCATAAATTCCGAATATCTTCCTGGCTCTCTGTGTAAAGAAAATACTGAGAGAGACAGACAATGAATACCATTACGGTACCATAGGAATTTAAGTTATTTCGAAACAAATACAGAGATGCTTACAAAAATCGATGGACTATTTAATTGTTATCTACTAGAAGAACACTACCTTGTACACCCAAATTATCGACTCTGTTCGCTAAAATACTACCCAATTCGGAGCATGCGCTCCCACAAAAATGGCTCCGTCTATCTGATTTCTTTGGATTTCCTAAGGAAACCTTTAATTCTGAGATTCTATATACTATCAAAATCACTAGATAAACTACGAGTTGGATGTTTCGAAAAATCTAAGGTCTTATATCCTCTCAAATATTGTTGAGACCGTTTGTACAACCCTGTTTGAGCTCCAAAGACCCTTAGCAGCCCCTGTTTCTGTTAATTCATGTGTTCCAGGGCATGGACCATAAGTATTCCAGCTGCTGGTCGATTTTACGAGCGCACACTACTATATATCTCGTCTACAAGGAGTACACACGTTTCCCGATAACTCTACCCGGATTCCGAATACTGGACAAAGGGAGTAACGTGTCTACTGCCCCGCGGGCTTTTCCGTGGCATGCATTCGAGCCTGTTCAAGCCTCGGCTGTCGATGGAAGCGCCTATATCCAACCGGTGTCGTTTAAAAATTTCATTTCCGATCGTGTGTACCCCCCGTCTTCACTCTCTTTCTCCCTCTTTCCTACAATATTTCTCTCTGTTCTTATTGAAATTTCGAGCGGTGCAGACGAACGGAGTCTCCGCGAACTTAACTATTGATAGGCACGCGCAAATCGACCGTCAAGAAGTGCCGGTAAAACAAACGGCGGAGAGACAGTCGCGCACGATCTCTGTCACGAGTACCGTGCCTCACGAGCCACGACGACAAGTAACCGGGCCCCACCGTGATCCTTCCGTCGGATGTGTATGTGTATCGTTCCGAGTGCAGTATCGCGCTCTTATTTTTTTTTTTTCGCACGTCGTTCCTCGTGAACTCCGAACGCACATACACACGTGAGACGGAAAAGAATTTTTACGACGCGTGTCACCGCGCTAGTGGAGGAAAATGTCCACGGCATTGCTGGCGGTATTCGCTGTGATCCTGTGCATCCTGTTCAGGATACTGAACGTGAACAGCTCACCGAAGAAGCCGCTGATCGTGTGCCAGGATCAGACGTTTCTCACGACGATCCTTAAGATCGCGCCGGTCATCGCTGAACCGTAAGTTCATGGTTTCTCAAAAAAAGTCTATATGACGATCATTCTATACGATATGATCGCGTATGGGTGTTGGAGTGCGAATCGTTCTATACGGAGTTTACTTCGGACAAACGAAAAGTGAGGTTAGGTTTTCTCGGGGATAGGTCTATTGGTTAGGTCTCGGTTGGGTCACTTATGGGACACCGGAGATATTTTCATGGGATTCGGACCGGTTCAATCTTGCGGTACCTGGACAGGATGGATTTTGAATGATTACTTATTGTTCCTGATTTCGCTGTTTTTATCGATCGAGAAGAATGGGGTTTTTTTTAGATGAGTTTCGTCGATCGATACCACCGAAAATTCGCGAAAGCTGGCAGAAACGATCGGTAGGAAAAGGCGTAACGCCACTAATCGTCCGGCACGGGTGTGATCCACTTTTCACTAATAGACAGTGACCCTGTGGTCACTCTTCGTAATTATGTCACTGGGAAGGCCCTATACAAAACGTAATGCTAACGTTGTAGTAGCGTATTTTGAAGAAAAAAGAACGTGTTTAAACAAATTAATACCGTTCATTTGGAATTAATAATAATTATCGTACGTACATATTGTTGCCTCTCGTTTTACAATGAATTGTGTATTTCCATATGAAATTGAACGCAAACATTATGCAAAATGCATGTAAATAATGCGGTCTTTAAAAATAAAAAAAAAAGAGCACTACACAGACAATCATTGATATGAATTGTAAAAGAAATTCATAAATTTATTTTGTACTGAAAATTATGTATGTCGAATGATATTGTATGAGTGATTTACTTAAAATCGAAATACGTGCGTACTTTTAAGCGAAACGAGATTCAGAAATAGATTTTCTCGATTAGTCTGACGCAGAGCTTAATTAGTCACCGCCGTCAAGAACGAGATTCTAATCGCTCTTTCTCACAACATGTCCACGTGCCCATGGCTAATTTACATCTTCGAACGGTAATCCTCACACATTTAAATGCCCGTTAGTGATTTTGAAATTTTCGAAACTCGACACGTGAATTCTGTTATGAATGGGTACCGAGAGTTTCTCGATTCGGACGAAACGCCCGCGATCAACAGATGATACAGTCTGGAGAACGGGACACGGAACCGTAATCGGTATCTGCATTCTTCTTCCATTTCGGGCATTGCATAATGACTTGCTCTGTCGGAAGATGACTAATACATTATCACACTACGAATCTGTCAAAAGCAATTATGAATCATGTTCATATAACTGATACGAATTTTTTAAATGCCTTTCCACGGATCAACACGTATCCTATCGCATCAAATGATATTTGAAGAAATAAATGGGGATTTTGTGGAAGGTACCGTCAGATCTTTTATGAGTATTTCCAAAGTGTAAAGTACGACATTATTAAAAACACTTCAAAAGTAAGAATTTTTTCCCATACCTGACTATGTTACAATTGTATCACTTATATAATTGCTTGATTGAAGATATACATAGAAAGATAACGATAAGTACAAACAGTATACAGGTAACGAAGAGATAACAATACTTCCCTATAAAGTTGACATCACAGACGATAATTTGCAGGCTTTGTTTCTGTCATTTTTTCTCGCCTTTACCTGGCCAAGTGAAATCAATTGTTTTCAGGTCAGTCCGGCAATGTCACGCAAATCGATATTGAACGATAACTTGACGATTGTTCATTCGGTCGATGCATGTCTAGAGAAGGACTTCCTGCAATTCATCGGTTATCGTGTTTCCTAGCAATCTCGATGCTTTCGCTTTTACTTCCGCGCAAAGAATGAAATTCGTTTTCGTAATTGCGCGTGTCACAGCACAGAATCGCTCGAGCATTCCGCTACACAAGCCTTATCATTTCGGCCACAATTGCACGTTTGGTCGTTGCGAAACAAATATCTTTCTCGTGGACTAAATTAATCGTCGTAATACGTCGTCTTCCTCTGTTTCTGTAAACTGTACCTCGTGCGAAACAAAATTGTATCATACTATTTCTATTTATGTGTCACCGTATTTAGTCTTTGTATTATCTATTCTGTTCATTTTATTACAGTAGACTGACGCTTGATAAATTTCTTATGTCTGAACTTTTATGTATCCTAACTGTATTCGTTTCACGTGCTGTAAAATAAAACCTACTCTTTCCCTATCTGATATTTTTGCTATTCAAACAATTTCCCATTTTCTCTCTGATACTAAACTTCCAATACTAATCTCCTTACTATTGCTAACTCATGACAAACATTATTTGAATAACGAGTAAAACACATAAAAAGTTGTCACTTGGATAATTGTAAAAACTGTTATTGTAGAGTAATATCATATTGTGTATACATATATAACCATGGTTCAAGTGATCTTTTAATTAAATAATATTTCTATTTTGTATTTGTTGTTCAAATAAAATTCTACTCATTTCTAAACCAGGTAAGTTCATTTTTCTTTATTTCCGTCTGCTCATTTTTAAACAGTCGATTATTCCTTTTCCTCTGATCTTTTATTTATATTTAAAAAGAAAATTTTATTGTGTTTCCTTCTCCTCGGATTCCCTCCACTTTTACTGCGTGGCCATTTCGGCGCGCAAATGGTATGCCGTGCGAATCGCAATCGTAACGCAACGGGAAAAAATGAAGAAAAGCATGTTTAATATTCTGTTTTGATCGATAATATCCTGACCATGACTGCCAGCGGTTATAGTGTAACGCGAGGTAGACGTAACTTTTCGCGTGAACGTAGTAAAGCTGAGGGGGAAAAAAAACTTTGCGAACAGCGCGATTTCTAATTAATGTCTAATGAGCAAGATTTTCTCACCAGGCGCACGTGCGCCAACTATCTTCGTCCTCTTTATTACAGGCCATTCCGCGGTGAAATTTCGTGAATGATTTAACAGAAAAAAATATCTCTCCGTGTTGTGTCTCGTTTAATTTCGCAGCTTGGAGTTATCCTACTTTCTGGCCTGGCGACGATACGAGGTCTCGAGTACCCCTAGATAAACATATTATGAACTCTCGTTTTATGAAAATTGATAAGTTTCACCTTCCTGGAGCAACCGACCGTGTACACCGGGGAATTCTACTCGATGCGTGACGCGTTATAAACTATTATTCGAGACACCATACTACTGTACGACCAATGTGCACTATAACGACTTCGGTCTTTGCACGGTCGATGAGGTTTTATCACGAGTAAACAGCCCTTGCGTTGTACAACTATGTTCCTCCTTCATTACGCTATTTTTAGAGACAAAAATATGGACGTTACGCTTGAATACGAACAAAAGACGGCCTTACGGTAATGTATGATAGTATAATTACCTAATGATAAATTCATTTTTGTCACCTCGAAAACAACCGCTGGTGAACGAGTATGTTCACTTTTGAAGGAAAACATTGTAAAACTTCATTTTTAAACTAAATATTCATTTTCCACGCGTATCATTTCGACGTGAATTATAGGTCCTGTTTCTCATGCTTTCCCTAATTAAATTCAGTTATACTTGTAATTAATAATTAATTTCTATAAATAATATTCAACAGTACGTAACAAAGCAGAACCGCTATAATTATATTAAGCGGAAAGCCTAGATTAAATAAGGTATTAAAAAGGAAGTAATGAATGAATTAATAATATTGATATATATTTAAAAAATACAATTTAGTTTGAAACGATATTACAACCCAAAGTATCGCTGAGCTCTACTCACAGTCTAGAAATGAAATCGAATCAGCGAGAAATATACTAAATTTCTTGGATTTAACAAAAAATGTCCATCGTTCTATAGTATATCGAAGCGAAATGAATGGCAAAAATAAAGTTCAAACTATGCTGATCTCGGCCTAATTCCAAGTTTCCTGTAACAGAATAGCCTGTAATGCGATTCTTCGCCTTGTAAGTATATGCCGGCTGGAAATCCTCGATTTTATACGACCGTAGAGCACAAGCAACGGCCTTCGATAATTCCTGTCAGCGAACTACATACACCTAGTTTCTAGAATTTCCTTGTCAAACAACCCGACAAGAAATCATTTCGTGCGTCGTTCGCCGGTAAAGCGATTTCTTATTCGTCTCGCTCGTGACACGGGGAAACAACCGATTAGTTCGCATAAAATGTCCGGATCAATGGGTCAGTTCTAACGCTCGGAGAGAAAACTCATAAATCACGTGGCCCACTGTTAACACACGAGGTTTATACACCAGGCTAGAAATCGTTCTAAGAACTGTTCCGCCCGATTTTACTACATGCTTTTTCGAGGGCAGAGAAATAACGTCACGAAAATTTTTGTCCTCGTTAACATAGTCTTGTAACACAATTCTCGCGGTGATGACCGTGGTAAAACAAAAGAAGGTCGCGTTTATAGACGTATATCTAGTACTCTTTGCTCCCCAAAGAAATGTTCTTCTAGAAAAGTCGTGACTACCGATTTCTTCTTTTGTGGCACGTAAAAGTGCGTTTCACGCGCGTCTCGCCGTCTAATGCCCAGTAATTCTCGGGTGTTCTCCTATGCTCTACTGATCCACTGCGATTCTTTACGGACTGCAATAACGCGATTTAACAATCCCCTGGATCCCGTGTCGGCTATTCCCCGACGGGTGGAACGACTACAATTAACAATGCAAAAGTTATGGAACTTCTGCGAAAGAAGAGACACACTTTCACGCGGTGTTTCCTCGGGCACAATGGGACACGCCAGAACTGAAAATAGTCCGGACACGGCGTTAAATTAATTACTATGTAGACAATTTCGTTTTCCTAAATAAAACCGTACATTTTCAACCTTGTAAAATGCTTATCATTATACGCCATTAGGGATCAATAAACCTGAAAGTACATAATACCGAGAGACTTATAGCAGTATATCATTGTATATATTTTTACTTTTGTCAGTAAAGACTCGAAATTTTATATAAAAGTCAGTTATTATTTAAATCAATCGTATCATTTCAATCGTTCCATACAATCAAAGGGAACCTCAATGAAGTGTAATAATTTTGGTGTTTGGGCGTGACTTTATAAATATCGAATGATGCCTGATAATACGATGGTCAAGGTCAGCCAAGGACAGACGTTAAAGAAACTCTGTTTATAATAGATAAAGTCGTACAAAATGTAGAACATGATTCATAGTCAGTCACAGAGAGTCTCAAAACTGACTGGTCACCTATAATAGATAAAGTCGTACAAAATGTAGAACATGATTCATAGTCAGTCACAGAGAGTCTCAAAACTTATATCACCTAAGCTGTCAGAAGCTCGTACATTGCAAACAATAATAAATAAAGTGTCACAGCTGTTTTATAAACTGTCTCGTATATTTCTGACCTCGACGTTGTGATCACATACATGTTTCAGATACAAACCGACAAGGTTATGGGGTTTCAGTGGTCACGTGCAGACGATTATTCACAGTATCATCGGACGCGTACGTTGCCCTTGGCCGATTGGCGAACGTGTCTACATCGGACTTCCGGATGATACGACTCTCACCTACGATCTTTACCAGCCATTGACCAACGATTACGAAGGTATGTTCCATTGCTCAACAAATAAACGAATGTGTACATGTATACTTGCCAATAATCCATAGAATATATTATAGAATCCATAACCCTTGCAACATGGTCACAAATTTTATAATGGCGGACGAATACTGGAATGAATGAACGCGTTCTACTCATACGCATCAAATAAATACAATACATTCTTGTAACGTTCAATGGTGCGTCTAAGGCACACTTGGAATTTTACGTAATATAATTTTTTATCACCACAGACGACATCACCATTGCCATTTGCCCCGGGATTTGCAACAGTTCCGAGAGCGTCTACATCAGAACTTTCGTGCACTTTGTCCAGTGCCATGGGTATCGATGTGCCGTACTTAATCACGTCGGGGTTCTTTCCAGTGTAAAGGTTACTGCGCCACGAATTTTTACGTACGGTACGTTTGAATTGCACCGATAATTTTGCGATTTAACATACGTCGCAGTCACGGCGAAGCTTTCTAGGCTAAACTGCGACGCCGAAGCTTTGAATAACATTAAAATTTCAAGAATCTCATTTGTAGCTCGATACATACTCAGGGTTCTTCGTTAATTAAATACTGTGATCGATTCTCTATAGGACACACCGAGGATTACCACATGATGCTGCAGAGTCTGATCGAGAAGCATCCCAACACGAGAATCATTTGCATCGGGTTCAGTTTAGGCGGCAACCTGGTGACCAAATATCTGGGCGAACGGGCACCGAATAAAGGATTGAATATTATTGGAGGAATATCGATTTGTCAGGGATACAATGCACTCGAGTAAGTGGCGATAATTTTACGCGATCTTTCCTCGGCAGTTCATTCGATTTTGGAGCGAAGATAAATGTCGGAACAAGGATTAACCATAGAACGGCAAGGTGTTATCTTCAGTTAGCATTTAAAACAAACCTGTCATAGTCAATAACAGTGTAAGATGACCAATTTCCATGATTATTGAGTTAATAAAAATATTTATAATCTATAAAATAAATCATGAGAGTAAGATAAGGATTGTTAAATTATAGGGTAATCAGTGACTCATCTTGTCGTCCTAAAGTTAGTGGAGTTAGTTCTATGATTCTATTCATAAAATAAACTACATATTTAATGAAGCAGAATGGAAATTTAATTAAAATTATAATCAACACTTGCAACAGCATCAGCGAATCGTGTAGTTACATATTTAGCTGTGTGAAGCATGCAGTCGGTTATACGTTGCAAGTAAGAATAAGATAATGAAAATTTATTGTCGATCATTTCTCTTCAGGGGTACAAAGTTCCTTCTCAACTGGCAAAACTTCCGACGCTTTTATCTCTACATAATGTCGGAGTCAGTGAAAAACATCATACTTAAGCATAAGAATATGTTACTGTCAGAGGAAGTTAAACAGAGGCATAATTTGAACGAGCGAGACATCATCTCCGCAGCGACGTTACCGGAACTCGATGAAGCGTACACGAGAAAGGTAAAGTTTAATGATCCAATTTAACTATTCCAGTATACAAAATGTTCCGCTTAAAACAGACCACCTAAATGTTTTCTCTATCTGTGATCATATAAGAAATATTTTTTACGTAATTTCAATGGTTTCAAGAGAGAAATCGGATGGCGGCAAACATTTCTTATAAGTATCATTTATTATGCGTTTATTCATGTATAATTGTATGACTTTGAAATGATCAACACTACGAATTTTTAATTTACTTATAAAAAATTTACTCTAAACATTTTAAATTTACTCATATAATGTTTTCCACCATCTGATTCGTCTTTTGAAACCATTTAGAATAAGACATTTAGGTGGCCTATTTTAAACGGAACACCCTGTATAAATAACTATCTATAACTAATGTTCCAATCTAACAGTTCGAAGTAAGAAGATATAAATAGTATTCTAATAAAAGAGTACACTAAAAATGCGTAGTAAAATATTTCCATAGCCATTTCGTTAGGAAAAATAATCTTGAATATTTATGCACTTATATTCGATAAATGATCGTAAATTACATTTACTTATTAAAATGTTTTTTTTAATCAGGAATGTTCGTACAAACGTCATAGGATACATGTATATTTTCGAATACTTTTCACCTACAATAATTGTCTTTGGGTGACCCTGTATTTTACCAAATGTAATCGTAAAAACGCATAATTTATTTCGATTTTTCATGGAATAGGTGCATAACTTCAGATCGGTGATGGAAATGTACAAATGGAGCAGTTCGATATTCTATCTCGAGAACATCACAACGCCCATGGTGTTCATTAATGCGTTGGACGACCCCATCGTACCGGATAAATTGCTGGAACCCATCAAGGAACACGCCAGTAAGTGTGAATAAAATCATTTTAAAATGCAGGATACACGGTGACTTTATGGTTCTTCCGAATCATCAAGAGTTGTATGTAGAGAAATGACCTTGAACGACCTTGTCTAATACAGGTCATTGGTATTATTCTTGGAGCTATAGCAAGATACTCTGTAGACAAGTCACGTTTTACGTGACGACTCTCTAAAAATCTTTCAACATTGATCTGAAAGTTTCTTTCTTGAAATATAATAAACGCTGCATATACCGAGCAAAAAAAAGTATTTACATGCAACTATATTTCTAAACAATTTTTATAGATTCTCTGATTATATAGATTAGATTATATAGTATTATAAATAAATACACGAGTGTAATCTCAGGTTATACAATTGCATTATAGAAATAAATTGTATTTCCTGCCACTGCCATGTTTTTCGTTCCCTTTAATCTATTTCAGCACGTTGTTTCAGACAAACATCCCAACACAATATACATAGAGCTGGCACACGGTGGCCATTTGGGATTCTACGAAGGTGGCCTCCTCTATCCGAACCCCATAACTTGGTTGGATCGCACGCTGGTGTCCCTGGTTGGGTCGCTGACGTTAGCGCACGCGGACAAATCCTTAAAAACCTCCTAACCATATTCAATGTCATTGTCACGATCATCTTGTAAGTAAATCATCCAATCGGCAACTGGCGCCGCTCATAATTGTCGATCTTACGCGAAGATTTCTCTCTCTTGCGCACACGCGCGCACTCGATCCCGCTTCAAGCCAGAAAAATGGCGGACCCGACTGGCGTATTAGCCGTGAAAAGTAATCGCGTGTAACGAGTCCTCGAATACTCTCAGAGACATTATTTTTTTGTTTCTAATCGCGGAGCTATGCGAGATGAGATTCAGTTCAGGAAGGATATGTGCATTATATATTTTCGAAGGCTGTCTTGTAAAATTCCTAGCTTCGACCGGAAGTTGAACTACGCGAATTCGAAAAAAGACAGAACGTTTGCAACAACGATTTAATTCAAGACGGTGATTCGTTTCTCCTCAATGTCCTAATAATAATTGACGCTTTTTACTCAGGGATCTTCGGCAGGGCGATTTGATAAGAAAAACGTTAAAAATCATATGATAAAAAATTGGACGACCGTAGAAACGTATGATAACGTGACCGTCACGTTATAAAGAATCAAATGAACAGTTCGATGGAAAATAGACGTAGAAACTCATCGAAAGATTTTGGAACTTGCGAGTAATTGGTATTTTATACAGTGCGAAATGTTCGAATAACGATCAATAGGATCTTGATTACGGTGTTTCTTATATTAGTCGAAAGATATTTTCGCAATTATCGGGTTAATCGGACGCTGTTCCACGTGAATGAATTAACACAAAAAAATAATCGTTCGATTAGCGGAATGTTTTTACGCAAGTGTCACACGAATGCTCATTCGTCCTCGAATGCCTGTGTTTTACGTATCCCCTGTGTTCTCAAAATGCTGGGCAAACGATCACTTGTGATTACATTTACGTAATACCGACTTTGTTAACACGGAAAGTACGTTAAAGAGTGTATATTTTTTCTATGACTGCGTATCCTTTAGTCACTAGTCTAGTTCAAATCGCCTAGCGACAGGTTAGTTTGTTCTATCTTTCTTCACTCACTGAACAAATTTATGTACGATTTTTCCAGTTAACAAAGTGACGTACATTCGAATACGATGTACAGAAAAAGTGATATATATTCTTTTATCGAACATCGAACATTTCATTTCTGAGATTGACTCGAAACGCGATACCATAGTTGTGTTTAACGAATGAGTGGTTCGATCAAATTATTTATACATCCGTGAACAGAAAGAGCATCGATATTTTCAACGGCGAGAACGATAATTGTACACCTCGTACCGAAAAAGTATGGTCCAATTGCAATATTAATTAAGCAAGCAGAATGAAAATTTTTCAGTGTATTTAGACACGATAAGGGAAACCACATGTTAATATATAAAAAAAAAAGTAATCAGAAGTTTCTGAACTTATTCTAGCCTTCTACAGTCGTTTATCATACGAACGTTCATCTCCATAACACGACGAACATAAAGACAATAAATATCACAGACATACAGAACACACTGAAAAGAAGTACTATCGATTATTTAAAGACATTAAAAGATCATTTCTAAATTTAAATTATTTATTTCTTAGTGTTACTTCGATGGGTGCAGCTATTAATCGTTAAGTCTCTAATAGTAGTACTTTTATTATAAATATATTTTTCGAAGCTGTCAGTGTATATTGGTACTAATAAAATCGCAAGAATTTGTATGTGCGGTAATATGAAAGTCTTACGTGTAAACATCACCGATGAACCATATCTAAAAAAAAAATTCGATGATATGCGCGCACATTCGTCGAATGTAGTAAATTTTCTACGACCTTACCATTTATTTGCCTAATTATTGGCGCTTCGGTGAAGATATCTGCTTAAGTACGTTCGGTCTTTGCTCATCGTTCTGTCAGGTTATTTCATAAATTTTTACGTAAACCATATGTTCAGAAGATATTTACACACGTTGAAATGCTTAATCATTTACAGTTCGTACGTATTACGGTAAGTATTATGTGTGTATCAAATAATTATGCGAAGTAAAATAATTATTTAAATTGTTTAGTGATCTATTATTATGATTTAGGGCAGTATATTTAAGTAGTTTTTAGGTTCTTAAACTATGTTTATAAATATGTAAAAATTTATAAACACAATTTATGACATTAATAATAAATTAAACATAAAAATTTATGGAATGACCTGATATCGCGAAGGTTGATCCAATAATGTTCGAAAGATTGAGGCGATCGTGAGACCGCGTTTACATGCAATTGAACGCCGAACAGCCGTCTAGCTATGTAAACAAAAGGTGCTTGTAGCAGAAAGTGCCTTAGATTAAGTATACATATACTGCCAGCACAGGGATCAAGATTTCCGAGAATGGTCGCTCGAGATTATTTTACCAGGAAATCGGAACTGTTCTGTACGAAAGTCACCCCTTTTGGCGAACCGAGGCAAACACTTCGTTCGGAGGGTGTATTCTGTTAAGTCTCACGCGATACTGTTAACTGATTGGTCGATTAGCGACAGGAACTCGGTTTCAATAATTTATTAAGCATTGTTACGAGTGTTTTTGTATATTCTGTCTGACGAATTAGCATTTGTTACGCCTGAGCAGTTGCGGTTTTGTAACAAAATAATTTGTTTGCACTGGAAATAAACTTCTTTTTCATAAGTGTACCAATTTTCCCAACTGTTCGTTATTTACCTCGATATGGTTCGAAAAAACAAGTGTCACGTGTTATTACGTATACCTAAATAACGTTTGACGTGAACTAAGTTCCGTGATCACACATTATCATTGGGCATTTTTTGTTAAGTGTACCACGCGTTCGCGGAACCGTTATCTATCGATTAGGTGCAATCTTTTCTTAGTTCGACAAACGGAACGAACGACATATTGTTTAGAGTTTAGGAGATTTCGACTAAATTACACGTACGCGACGACATTAATTTCGTGTAATTTGGTGATAATTTACCAAGAGTTGTTTTTCATTTTAATTTTAAGACAAAAGAGACTAGGTTTACCTACTAAAAAATTTGTACGCTACGGTATAAAACTGTGCGATTTACAATATTAGCAATTTTCGATAACCAGGAAAAACTAGTCAATTCGTCACTTCTACGCTATCAGTGAGCTACCAAACTACATATTTCCGTGTAAGCCAAAAACCTGCAATCCTCTCTTTCCGATTAAAAACACAAAAAATGTCACGGTATCATTCGATCGAGAATATTATTAAGCAATAATTTACATCCTCAATGGAGATTTGACTAAACGCGAACTGACGAACCCTATCCTTTCGTTGCGTAAATATCCGGCGAACCGGCAGTCCTAGCTGAACAATTTGAAATTGAAACTAGCCGTTCGTACACATCAACAAGTACAATTTATTTACCTTCTCTTCCACGCAGGAAACGAGACCGCGGATTGCCACCGGTTAGCGGAAACTTTCCTCTAGTCGCGAATACAATTTTCGGCCAGGGCAGGAAACGACAAACAAAGTATTGCGTAATTTGCAATTAATCTGACGGCCTCCTGGGATACCGAATTTGGTCGGAGGAACCAGGAAACCGGCTGGCGAAGCTTGGAGAGAGAGCACTATCGAAAGGTCGCTTACAGGCGAACGAACGTCAGTCAGCGTTCTGTCCGCGAGACAACGACTGTGGTGGACAAAGTACACGTGTGTCTCTCAGACGGAGGAAACGGATCAGCCAGTAGTACGTGAACTGTCGGGACGATCGGATCGAGAGATCCTATCTGTGTGTGAATCGCGGCGTAATCCAGCCAGCAGCACGTGACGAAATTACACCGGCTACCAAGGGACCGTACACATAGATTACACATCGATCATGAAAGGATCTGTACTTTCGTTGACAGTGCTACTTGGCCTGGCGTGCGTGACGATCGCGATGCCGCGAATTACTTACAAGTCCCTACGTACACAAATACTCGAGTACGAAGAACGAATGATGTTAGGTGGCAGCCTGAGCCTGAACCACGACGAACGGGCGGCAAACGATGTCCTGATGCACGCCAAGAGGAAGGAACTGGAGCACGGTTCGTTTTTTCCAATAAAACGCGGTCGGCGACATCTGGTCGTAATCAATGCAAAACGCAATCACATGGGGAACCTGTTTGATCCACGTATTTCCTCCACGGTTGCCTTCGCGCGTGCGATTAGATCACGGAAAGATATTAATGATTGCGTCCAAGCGTGACGATTACGGCTCGAAGCTGACACAGAAAACTGTCCTTGCTGGTCTTTCCCGAATAGAATTAATTGATTGTTGTTTAAGATTGTAGAATGTTTTATGATTCTTTATAAAATAGTTTATATTTAAAGTAAATATTCATATATAAATGGGTTGGAGTTTGTTATGAACTATTGTCCATTAGTTTTGCGACAGAGTTGTGTGGCAATCGACGATCTTCTCGATCTTCTGTTCTCAAGGTTACGAAACATTGATCCGGCACTTTTATTCCTCGATTTTAGGGTATTCAGTGAGATGGTTTTTTCACTCGGGTTTCGTAGAATACACTCGGGGCACAACTTTCACGACTAATATTTTTTCCAACTTAATCGTGCACTCGTTCCCCTTCAGCAGCTTGCTAAACTCCACTTACACGCGTTCAGAGTTGGTATATGTTCGATTGTACTTTCATGAATGAAAAATGTCAACAAGACTCATGCATTACGCGTTAATTCGAATAGTATAATCTACTGTTTATGAACTACCATTTCTTCCAAAAATAGAATTATATTTTTATCTTATACCAAGGAGGCTGAACTTGACAGGTTGAAATCGAATTCTGATAACTTTCCTCGAATGAATATTAAATCCAATTTGAAAGTTAAACTGTAACTAAACCTACTAGTTAATATCCAAACTCAATGTTTTGACATTGTTTTTGTAACCAATGTAACAGTTACATTTTCGTATAAGATCCTTTAATTACAAACTTGTGCAAGAAACTTGGGAGGCTACCGTGCAAGAATAATACATTTTTGACAACAGACGACTGATAAAATGTAGATATCACAAAAATGGAATTACCTTTGGTAAAAGTTACGTTTAGGGGATGCCGCTCTGATGACCTCGACTCCAGTTCAACCAATTTCAACCAATTACTCTAATCAACTCCGATCAGTATAATGCTTCAGACAGATGGTTAGACGCAGTTGAAGACTAAAACATCTGACTGACAACATATGTTAAAGTATTCGGTCATTTTACTTATCAATACTACTAAATTATAATAGGGTAAACCCACCAATAAACGAATACTTAAGAGATATTGTAATTGTAACTCTCAGAGTATATACTCTCATGTACACAAATGTGACCACCAGGTCTGAAAGGGTTAACAACATATATCAAGGTCAAGGTCATCGGAACTGCATCCCGTAACCTAACTTTTACCTTAACTTTAATTAAGAAACTTCACTCTTCGTCCCGTCGCTAGGTGTACAACAAAATCGAGTATCAAACCCATTAAACTTCACATTCCTGCATCCGAATCTGCAAGTATTCGATATGATCCATAGGCTTCAAGGATCTCAAGAAATTCGCTCCAGGTTGGAGCTTCCTCTCGGCGAAGAAGGACATCGACAAGTCTAAAATCTTCCACTTCCTGCGTCGGATGCCGAAGGGTGCGGTGCTTCACGCACACGACACATCCATGGTTTCAACGGATTACATATTCCAGAACATCACGTACCGCGATAATCTGTACGTCTGCGAGATCGACGGGACCGTCAAGCTTCAGTTCTTCGAGAAACCGCCGAACGAAACGTCCTGCCATTGGGAGCTGCTGAAGGATGTACGCAAGCATCCGGACCGCGCGAAGAACGTTGACAAGAAAATCAAGAACGGAATGTCGATGGTTTGCAGCGATCCCAACGAAACCTATCCGGACCTCACTAAAGCATGGAAGAAATTCAGTGACATATTCGGGTTCATGAAACCCATAGTCACTTTCCGACCTGTCTACGAAGATCATTTCTTGAGGGCACTCGAAGAATTGTACGAGGACAATGTGATGTACCTAGAGCTGCGATCTACTTTGCCCACTTTGTACGACTTCGACGGCACCAAATACGGGCCGAAGAATGTTGTCGGTATCTACAAGAACCTTGCCGATAGGCGAGTATTTTATGATTATTTATCCTCTTTTCCTTTTGAGCCCTGAATGATCAAATTTATTATCTGGCGACAGAATTCATCGCCGAATGCTTTACACGTCAATGGTTCTCAGAATTTCTGAAACTATTCGATGACATAAGGGTGACGAAGAAAATTTCTGTCACATGGAAGTGAAAACGAACCGCACGTAGAATTCCTTGAGAGAATACAGTCGGTAGTTTTTAACTTCATTATACAGGGTGATATCAGATTTAACTTTATTACTCCTTTCTGTCTTGGAATGCCGTGAGGCTCTTTCAATTGTCCTACCACTCCAGAAGATGATGAATCGCATAATTAGACCTCCTGTTGCTATCCGATCAGAGACAATTAAAAGAGCAGCTTTAGGGTCAGCAAGCATTCTACAAGATGCCCAGGTCTTATCAAATTGGGGGAAAGTTTAGATCACATATCACTACCGATAATAAGCAAAGATTGCCATTTAATTGAAATAATAAGCTTTACACGAAAACACTTTTTGTTCATTATTCGAGACCTGTTATTTAGATAACAAATTCAGCCGTACCTGCTGTTGATTTAATATTTTAACGTCACCGACACTTGAAATTGCGATTAGAGCAATAACAAAGAATCGATAAATGATCGATCGACAATATCGTTCTGTGTAGATTCAAGAAGGATCACCCAGACTTCGTCGGTGTGAAACTGATCTACGCGCCTCAAAGATTCGTCGATCACAAACGAGCGGAAGATTACATCAAGATTCTGAAAGAGCTGCAGGAGCTATATCCAGACTTCGTGGCAGGTTTCGATCTAGTTGGGCAAGAGGACAATGGGAATACACTCGAGTACTTCGCGGATATGTTGGAGAAGATCGAGCCAACTACGAAATTCTTTTTCCATGCGGGTGAGACGAATTGGTATGGCACGTCGACGGACGAGAACCTTGTCGACGCAATTCTGATGAACACACGACGTATTGGTCACGGGTAATCAGTCAATAATTATTATCTTTAACTAATCAATAGATTAAACAGACAGGAATTAATGCAGATTTTTAGCTCAATAGATAGATCTTTTTTTGAACTATGGAGAAACTGTTTTCTCGAACACAGGGAAAATTATATTTTTAGATTTCAGAGCTGAGAAAGTAATTATAAATGGATGAGTATTATTAAATAAATAATCATGACAAATGAGTAATAACAATGATTCGCACACGTTGTAATCATTTGTAACGAACGAACTACAGAATACTTATACTTTCATAGAAATTAATTGAGTGAATCAACACCTTGTACCTTTCTGGAAACATTTAACCATTGATTCAATGAATTATTAATCGTAAACCAACTCATAATGCAGAGAGCGTCACAGTTTCCTTCAATGAATTATTATCAGCGACCTCGAACCACGCTATTTTTATTTTCTTCGTAGATTAGGGCTTTCAATTCACTAACTACTAATTACACATAAGAAATATAATTTCTGCACTATTTAATTCGCCTAAAACCTTTCGACAGGTACGCGCTAACGTATCATCCCTTCCTACTTGAAATGACGAAGCGAATGGACATCGCGATAGAAGTGAACCCGATTTCGAATCAAGTTCTGAAGCTCGTCGACGACTTAAGGAACCATGCCGCCAGACGACTGTTCGCCGAGGGGTATCCAATAGTCATTTCGAACGATGATCCAGGATTTTGGGGCGCGCGAGCTTTGAGCTACGACTTTTACGAAGCCTTTATGGCACTCATGTCCGAGCATTCGGACTTGAGAGGACTTAAGCAACTGGCTATGAATTCTCTTATTTACAGCAGCTTAAATGAACAGGATACGAAAGCTGCGCTACTGCTTTGGGAGAAGAAATGGAACCATTTCGTGAAGGATATGGTTAAAGAACGATTCTAGGAACCCAAACCGCGAAATTTTGTTTTTATAGAAAATGTGACGACTCGAAGATTTATATCTTCATGAGTGATCATGCATGGCACAACAACAGCTCGCGATTATTTTTGCGTGTACATATTGACGCATGTTACATACTTCCTCCTCGATACACCATTAAGCTCACATGTATACTTAATCACCGCAGGATGGCCGATGACAAAACCGGTTCTTAATACAACTTCTTTTGTTACAGGACATACATAACGCGGTTCATTTAAGTCGTGTATGAATCTTTGAATTGTATACGAATAAAAAAACTTTACAAATGCACTAGGCAGTTTAAGTATATTTCAGTTTGCAGATCGCTTGACGCTGAATTGCTTCCAAAAGTAAATGATTCCGTGATCTTGTGAATGCGCATCGACTATTTTATTGTTCATTTACTGCAGAAAAAGCTCCATCGGTTGCCGCTGACAAATCGATTTGTGCAGAAACCTGTCGGTGAACCGTAACCATCGAGGTGTGAAATCCACAACCATAAAATTTAAGGGACTTTGCAATAGAAAGTACATTTTATCGACAGATAATTATTTATTTAAACCCCTTGTATCCCTTTTGAACAACAAATTCTTTATGAAATCGATCAATAGTGAAACAATTAAAAAAATATGAAACTCTGTGGAAAAATGGATGGCTTCTTTCATGAGTTTACCTGAAAATAAAATTAGGATCCCACGGCGGATGATCGATGTCTTCTTTCTTGAATTTATACTAGTCTTACAATCGACTTAACTTAACTTACAACTAACCCATTTAGCTGTATACCAAGTAATTATTACAGACAAAAGGAGTGCATATTTTCTGAAGGAGAATATGTTTCAGAGAGTCGATGCTCTCGGAAGGAGAGCACCGATTCTCTCTGATGCTAAGTGAAGAACAACGGCAGTTAAAGTAATAACTACTCGGTATGCATTACAATTATTTTACAATGGGTTTGCAGCCATTCGCTCGGCATTATCCTCGATTTGCATTTTTATAAATCGAGGATAACACCGATTACCAGGTCTCACCACGTGGAGGTTGCTGCAAGTGGAGACCCAAGGAAGATAGATGGTAACACAAGTTCCATCTATCCACCTTCCACAATAATCTTACAATCAACTTAGATATCTAAATACGCTTATCTTATAAATATCGAAATCCCTCGGCGGATGGCTTCTTTCTTGAGTCTATCTGAAAATAAAATGAAGATCCCACGGCGGATGAACGACGTCTTCTTACTTCAACTTATAATAGTCTTACAATAGACTTAACTTAACTAAATAAACTAAGATAAATGAAAGAGGGACAAATGGAATCAAAGTTCCATTGATCGCTCCGTTTAGCTGTATACCCAGCAATTATTAGAAACAAAGGAGTGGCATACTCTCAGAAGGAGAGTATGTTTCAGAGAGTCGATGCTCTCGGAAGGAGAGCATCAATTCTCTCTGATGCAAAGTGGCGAGCAACGCCGGGTGACTCGAAACGACGCGACCGTGTTGCCGATCCTTAGGAGCGGCCCCCTTCCCCCAGATAATCCTTCGGTGGGTCGTGCCGCGTGGCCACCGGAGTGGGCCTCATTACTCCCAACGTGCTGCCCCCAGAGGGGAACGGGGCACGGATTAAAGGTGAGAAGGCCCTTGCCGGGGCATCCGTAGAGCGGCCGCGCAAGCACAGACACCGCCCTACAGTCCGTGCCCACCACCCCACCGAACAGATCATTGGTTCGTGGAACCGATCGTTCGGGACCTTCAACACGGCCGATCACTTGCATATTTGCAGAGTGACCGGAAGAAGCGAGGTACACGAGAAAAAGAAGCTAAAGTACCTAATAACTACTGGGTATACATTACAATGGGTTTGCAGCCATTGGCTCGGCATTATCCTCGATTTACAGAAATGCAAATCGAGGATAACACCGATTACCAGGTCTCACCACGTGGAGGTTGCTGCAAGTGGAGACCCAAGGAAGATAGATGGAAACACAAGTTTCATCTATCTACCTTTCACAATAATCTTACAACTAACTTAGATATCTAAAAACGCTTATACTATAAATATGGAAATCCCTCGGCGGATGGCTTCTTTCTTGAGTCTACCTGAACATAAAATGAAGATCCCACGGCGGATGATCGACGACTTCTTTCTTGAACTTATACTAGTCTTACTTACAACTAACACATTTAACTGTATACCGAGCAATTATTACAGGCAAAAGGAGTACATATTCACTGAAGGAGAATATGTTTCAGAGAGTCGATGCTCTCGGAAGGAGAGCACCGATTCTCTCTGAGGTAAAGTGTGACTCGAATCGACGCGTACCGTGCGTAAAGCCCCTAGTGGTCGGCCCCGTCACCAGCTACCCCCTGTCAGAGGGGTCGTATCTCGCGCTCCTCCGTACGGGTCCCCATTTTGAGAGTCGATGCTCTCGGAAGGAGAGCACCGATTCTCTCTGAGGTAAAGTGTGACTCGAATCGACGCGTACCGTGCGTAAAGCCCCTAGTGGTCGGCCCCGTCACCAGCTACCCCCTGTCAGAGGGGTCGTATCTCGCG